ATCCAGCTTCTGAAAGGCAGTATTAAAAGCTGAGCAATCCTTATGGGCTTGTTCTAAATAGGAAGTTGACACAAAAATCACACCTTTAGTTACATCAGTTTGCTAAACGGGTGCAACTTTGACTGGACAATACAGTGGTACACTTTGTTCTATGTAGTGTTTTCTTAGCTGGTTTGATCCCAGGTTAAATTAAACTGATGCAATATCTGTGTTTAAGTAAGGCCTTATTTTCATTCTTCACCTGTTTGGGAAATCTGTGCAGAGGCGTGCAGACTTAGGAAGATAGTATCTGTTCGCATTTGGAAGGTAGTAATCTCCTATAACTTCATTTTTAAATGAAAACTTTAATTCTGCAGAAGCTAATGGGCTCCCTCACTTGGCAGAAAAAGACTTCAGCTCATCAGTAGAGTTCAGCGAATCTGAAGATATCCTCAACTCATCTTTGTGGATACAGACACAGATACAAATTTTGTATCTAGAACCCTGCAAATTTGTAGATATCCATTTTATATCAGTGGGTATCCAAATCCACGGATCTGCCTCTCACTTTTTCAGATATAGATACAAAATTTTGTGTCAGCATGGTGCTCTACTCATCAGTAAACAGGAGACAAATGTCTCTTTAAAGTAAACACTGTTTTAATGCAAGCCTTTACTTGCCTTTTTACTCTGATATGTTACTCCTTAATTAAAAAGCAGACATTGTGGGGCTTTTTCATTGCTTAATTTTGTTACAAAATATTCACACTTTACAGGTCAATCAGTGCTTTGTTTTTGACAGTGCTGCAAACTCCTGCTTTTGAGTCAAATTATGTTCTTTCATTTCCAGCATCATAATTAGTAATAATGGTTCTTCAGGGAAAGTCATATGATACTAGTACATACCCACAATCTTCAAAAGTAAACAAGTTCTGTTATGCAGAATGGAAGAGAATCCAGCTCATTCACTCGTTGTTCACATATTCTTTGTCTTCAAGTGTATATATCACTGCACAAGGCTGAATAAAAAGATTAGCTTGATGGACAAGGAAGAGTTGCATTGTAAGTTTCATTATTTTGTAACCAGGAGATTCAGTTATTCTATGCCAGTGATGTTGCCTAAAAGCACTGCTTTTAATTTAAGACTTAATTATTGATTTATCTAAATGGGTAACCAAGGTTGTGGCCCACCCTAAAGGAATTGCCAAGGAAAGTTGCAGCTAGCTAGCTTTCCAGTAAAAGGAGTAGGATAGAGTTTTGGGATCAAGAATAAGCAAGCAAGCAGTACCTCTTTGAAAATAGTAATATTTATTTAGAAGTGAGTGGTTACAAGAAGAAAATAGAGATAGAAATACATATAAAACAATGGAAGGTTAACAGTTAAATTAATGCCTTGCATGTTTAGGAGCTTCAGGGGGTAGCCGAGTTTGTCTGTTATAGGAAAAAAAACACAAATGGTCCGACAGCACTTCATAGACTAACAAAACATGTAGATGATACCAGTAAACATGTTGATGATGTTTACCATCTACATGTTTTGTTAGTCTATAAAGTGCTGCTGGATCTTTTGTTGTTGTTGTTTAGTTAAATGAATGGAGTGGAATAGCAAATTAAGGTGATGCAGTGTGATGATAATTGGAGTAGTGGCACAGCAAACATAACCAATGGAATGATAATATAACAATACTTTAATATGTATAAAATATAAATTATTACTACACACTAATACAACATATCCAGAAA